AACCAAAAAGCTGATCTTTTACTTATGCTTTTGTCACAATGGCAGTAAGTTGGCAGAAACCCTTCATCTTTAGTCCTTTTTCACTTTAAGGTTGTGTCTTTCTCTCACTCTCCTTTGTGATGGCCCCAATACTTCTGGCTCACTCTGCTCCACCAGGATCTCTCCCCTTCCCCACCGGATCTCTTAGATGATGCAGCTTCTGTCTTTATGGCTCCTCCCCTGCATCTCTCATACCAAACCCCAATCCTTCTCAGCCAGAGGTTTCTGTGCCCCCTGCACCATCCTCTCCCCTCACCACCCAAGCCTTCTGTTTTGTCAGAGGGTTCTTCGTCTCCTTCCGCTGTGTCGATATTTTCTCCGCTGCCTCAACATACGTGGTCTGGAGCACTCCAGCCTTTTGGCAGGCCACAGGGTTGCCAGCAGCCATGTTGCTGCAGCTTGCGTAGAGGACAGCCGCCATCTTGCAACGAGTCTCAGGGTCAATGGTTGCCCCCTTGTGGCCCCTCATACAATCAGCAGCAGCTAGGTTGCTTGGAGTCCTTGTCTCATGGTGATAAGCGGCTGTTTTGTAGCCAGTCATCAGACAATTGCCCACACACGCCTGCTGGATGGTTGGCCACTCAGTGGCCACAGCCTTCTCAGCCTCAGTCTCTGCTCCTGCTTCGGGAACAGGCTGGCCTTGTTCCGGAGAGATTAGCTAATATTTATGTTCCTTTTTTTTCCTTTCTGAGTTATCTCAGATTAGCCAAAAATTAGGTTCCTTTTCGGGTATTCTTATTTCAAGAGATCTCTATTAATCGATCTACAAAAAGGTTCACACTAGTCTATTTATTATAGTTCAAATTGGCCAAATATATTTAAGTGCACTCTAATTTTATGATGGTCAGTTTATGTATCTGTTGCCTGTTTGCCCATTGCCTGCTCTGTAAACACCTGTTTCTTTTTATTTGAGCTCAACAATTTTTCCTCCTCTTTTACATTTTCATATCATTTATTCAAGGTTTATTTGGGTTACAAATTTAAAAAACATGCTTCCACCTAGATTGCCAGCTGGTCAAAATGATGCTAGAATTGGTTAAACAAAATCCCTTGGAGTGAGGAGACATTTGACAACTGATGCACAAGAAAGTGGCCACCTGGTAACTTTAACCAGCTCTTGTTCATTAATTGGAGGCCCCAATAATCTCCATAGCCTTATGGGAGACACCTCAACTAAAGTTCATATGACTAAGACAATTCATTGTTGCTGATCTGATGGTATATTCATGCCTTCAAATGTAGAATTGAGATTGTTTATGAGGACAAGTGTTTTCTTTCAGATCCAGATGTCTGCCTTTCTCTTGTGCTCCAGCCAGGAGATTCAGGTCAGACCAACACAAGGTCACCAGTCGAATGATAATTTTTAAACAAAAATTTATGTAATGTATATGTCACACTTAGAGATGCTTAAATAGTGAGCAGTCCAAACAATGTCACAAGTATCTTCAGTGCTCAAATGTTAAAACACCCTTTGTTAATAGAAAATAATAGTTCCATTTAATGTTCTATGTTAAGCTTACTGCCTCTACTGCACTGTACTGTTACCAATCTTCTGGATGTTCGACAACTAAAATTAAGAGATAATTATAAATTCCTTTTGCTGCAATCCACCAGATCTTTTCCAGAAAAAATGTTATATGATGTAGGGGGTGACACAGCAATGAGACTGGCACTGGGGCTGAGGCTGGGGCAGGGGCCAGGTCTGAGCCTTTCCAGCCTGTCCACCAGCCCTGGCTCAGCCCTCCGCTGACCAGCGGGTGCTGGGCATATAGGGGCCATAATTAACTATACTCAACTGGCATTAAATGACATCATAGCTGATCTGTCTCCTAAATAAAAAGGTAAAATTAATAAAACAGGCCATCTTCCAAAATTCAGATGGCATTAGACATTCTAACAGCATAACGGATACTTATACAATTGTAAAACCTAAATGTGTGTATGACAAATGAATGACATGTCAGTTTCTAAAATTCCCTAGACCTTATCCTTATCCTCCTTAATGGAAGCCATTGCTAAAGTTATAATCATAAATACCCTGTTAATTGTATTATTTGATTCCTGCATACTTAATTGATTCTTTGCCTTTGTTTCCTTTAGACTTAAAGCTGTACACCTACCCAAGATAAAAACCAGATGTCTTGTGACTGTGGAGGAGACAGATACCTTCCACTGTGGGCCAGATCCCAAGACAAAGGTCTAAACTTGGCCCTCAAACCCCACAGGGAGATCTTCTTAATATGGCTTTTCAACAACAGAGATAAAAATCAAAAGGAAAAATAACAATCTGATCTTTTAGCAGTGACACTTGGAGCTCTGAGACAGGTAAATTGACACAAGGTGGAGCTACCTGAGCCCCTCCTGGACCATGCTTCAAATATAACAAAGAAGGACATTGGGCAAGACAGTGCCCAAACCCTGGTGTTCTTCTGGGGCCTTACCGCTATTGTAATCTCAAGAGCCTTTGGAAGAGCAACTGTCCTAGCCGCCAGAGAGTGGGTAAGCCATCCTCTAACTTCTTGCCCAAATAGGAGATCTCATCATCACTGACTGATCTACTCAGACTACTGCTGAGGACTAATGGGACTCAGGGTCCACAGCCCTCCATTAAGGTGTTCTTTTCAGAGCCCCAATTTCCACTGGAGGTCTCAGGTAAGACATTCTCTGCACTTGTGGACATAGACGCCATGTAGTGTTCTTCTTGAGTTTTCAAGCCGCTATATTAAGTCCTTAGTCTCTATAATGGGTGTTGACAGCCAACTTACGTAGCCTTTGCAGACAGGGCCTATTCCATGCAGGTTCCAGACTCCCTTCTTCTCTGGTAGATCCCATAGTTTGAGATACCTCCAATCCCACCCATGCTGCCCATGCCATGCCTATTTTAATTCGTCTCAGGTATCCTTCAATTTTTCCTTGGGGTAATCGATAATGCCATTACCCCAATCCACCTAGTGGTGCCAAACCCTTATACCATGCTCTCTTATATCCCTCCCTCCACCATTCAGTTTATAGTCACACATCTTAAAAATGCCTTTTTTATTCCTTTGTGTTTATGCAGAGTAACTCAGATACTCTGAGGTTTCAACAACTTACACCTGTTACCTCTATAGTAAAACCTCTCCTCAGGGACACACAGCACCCCTTCTTTTCCTACTCATCAATTTCTCAGAAACAACCCTGGTCAGGACTGGTAGATTTTACACACATGCACGGCCACAAATCTCTGAAATATCTTTTCACCTTTGTTTTTACTTTCTAGGATAGATAAAAGCCTTTCCCACAACCAGGGAGATTGCTGATATATTACTATAGTCCTGTTACAGGAAATCATCCCCAGGATACCACCAAGGTGCAGCGGCCCCTCCCTGGTCTTCTTGGCAACCCCAACCGTGGTCAAAGTTGTTGGACTACCATCCTGGTTCCACATGACTCAAGTGGTACCCTTCCAGCCCTAAATCTAATCATCCTATCACTCGCTCATCTCTGTCTCACCAAGGCCTCACAGCCACAACTCTCAGAATAATGTTTTGTTATCCAATTTGTTTCCTAATTCCTTATATTCTATTAATTAATTATCTTTTTACAATAGGACTCTTAACAGTCTTTCCTAAAGACTCCTATGTCATGCGTAAGATCATCTTCATGTTGTTATACATGACAACTGTCTTTCTACCCTCAGGTGTTTAGTCAAATGTGAGATCCCTGTGGACCTAGGCTCTTATCTCCCTTATAGTGACACAGCTATGGCCCTCCCCACCCCTCTTATTCTTTCCAGCTCAACTCCTGGACCAGAGAAAAGCCCTACCTACCTACATTTTTAACTTTTACCCTTTCAGATGAAAAAATAATCACCTCATAACTTCACTCCTTCTAACCCCATACTTATTTTTCAGAATTCTACCTCACTGTGGTCCTGATGAAACAGCATATTTAAATCAAAGACACCTTCCTTCTATCTCCCTTGGGCCCTTAAATATGATAGTGGCCTGCCTCCTTAGAGCACCTTCTCTCTCTGTTTTCCAGTCTAATGTGCAGGCATTCACCAATGATGAAGCTGTCCTGGCTGAAACACCTGGCACCAGCTTCTGCGTGGGCATCAACCATCATCCCATCAACCTTCCAAAACCCCAATACTGTGCCCCCTTTCAGTACAAAGTAGTAAGAGAGAGACTTTGCCCTTTTCAAAATACAATACAAAGGTTCTTGCCTTAGCAGAAATTACAGCAATGGGTCTAACGAGGTGGAAGGCCAAAGCGGAAATGCCTACCACTTCCTGCTTCTTCCCCAACTCTTGTTTGCACGTGAAGAAAATTCCAATCTGCTGCTTGTGTGTCAGCAATGTCTGCCCTAAGCACCACCCCAGTGGGAATTTATATGCATATCCCATGCCCACATTTCTGGCACAGAAAGCCAGGCCATGGGGATCATGGAGTCCTCTCCACGTCCTTGGATTAAAGGCTATTTTTACTTTATATTCTCTCTTTTATTGTGCCGAAAACTTTTTCACAGCCAATTTCATCTGGCTAGTCCCTTCTTCTGAAAAGAAGCTGGGAGGCATGGCCTTAAAACTGAACTGGAAGGTTAATTCTCAGAATCTAAAAGTGACCCAAGCTTCTCCCTATCCCTGCCATATCCCTGTCATAGATGCCATAAGGGGAGCTCCCCAATCTTGATCAAACTAGGGGCTACATTTTTTTAAAACAGGGTTTTGCTATGTAATTCAAGATGCCCTTGAACTCATTCTGTAGGCCAAGTTGACTTTGAAATTACAGGGATCCTCCTGCCTCAGCCTCCCAAATGCTGGGATTATAGTCCTGTGCCACCATGCCTGGCTTTGGATTTGTATTTAAACAGGAGATAATCACCCAAGGAGAAGTAGTGCCATTGGGTGTGGAGTCAGAGCTAATTTAATGAGTGAAAAACTAAATAATACCCACAGGCCTCTTTTCTCTGAGATTTACCTTGGCCTCTGAGGTCCTCAGAAGCTTCATCACCTCCCCTTCTCGGGCATAATCCAATGGTGTGTGTCCCATTTCATTCCTTTGCAGGGGGTTGGCTCCTGGTAGGCAGAGAAGAATGAACAGTCAGTTTTTGTGAGTGACCAGTGGGACCTCAGTCTTTGCTTATAGGTGGCTCGAGGCCCTGATTTCAGTGTGAGGAATGTTATGCAAATGTATGAGACTGTAGAATGGTGGGAAAAACAAGTTGTGCTATGTTGAAGGAAAGACCTTGGTCCTTTCTGGAAGGGGTCAGGGTACTTGGGTTCCTGCACGCTTATATGTGCAGCAACATACTTTCCACAGAGAGGTGCTACACATGCCAATATGTTATGCATACACACATCTAAACATGCCAAGAAAATATGTCCAACTAAGTATACATATTCATATATTCAGCACAAGTACATGTCAAAACACAAATTCATATATGCATACACTAAAATGTTCACATTTTCTAACCCATCTATAAACAGATAAATACTCATTCACAAGGCCATTTAAAAAGGTTCCTTAAAGAATATTCCAAATAGCAATGAAAAGGTCTTTCTTTCTTTCTCTGTCCTTTAATGCTTTCCTATCTCTGGGCATTTGCCACCAGCTGGGGTCAGCCGAGTTCCTAGGGACTCATGAGTGACCTGTTCTGCCATCTGAGCTGTTGGTGAGTTATGTGTATGTGGGTGGGTGTTTCCCAACCATTACTTCCTATGACTTGAGAACAGAGAATTCCAAGTATGACAAAAAGAGGAAAGCAGGGGGCCATGTATCTTCTGTCTAAGTGCTGGCAGCAGGTAAGCCACTATAAGCAAGCCCTGTGACACTGTCTGTCCTTTTGTGCTGCCAGAATCTCCTCAGCCCAGGGTTGAGCAGCTTACTCCCCTTCTCAAATGTTGTCCGTTCCACTCTACTCCACTCTATTCCATTGTGCTGTGAAGGAGTGGGGCAGAGGGTACAGAAGATCAGATCTGGTCTTGCCCTAAATGCATTCCCCTCAAGTGAGGATGGTAGAACCTATGAAAGCCAAGCTCTATACACAAGAAATGCTCAATGTATGTGTTAAATTCAATAGCAAGGTAATATCTGGCATTCCTGAAGCCACCTTTTTGCTAAGGAAGTATCCAGAGGTAAAGAAGGGTTAAGACCCAGTCTCTGCCATAAGGATAGAATCTGGCTGGGAACCTGTTTAGCACAAAGCCTGGCTCAGGGTGATGTCCTGACACTGTTTGTCGATGAACAGTGAAGACCAGTGTTTCTAAATCCCAGTGTGTGCAAACACATCATGACATAAAATGCTTCCTACTGCAAGTCTCTGCTACTTTTTTTTTGGATTGAAATAGGGTCTTGCTGGCCTTGAGCTCCTGTACTCAATTAATCCTCCTGACTCAGCCTTCTGAGTACGTGGTGCTATAGTTATGTAGCACTGAGCCTATAGATCTAGATATAAACTTTATATCTCTTGAGTAGATATCTAGGAGTGGTGATAACAATAACAGCACTGGTATTTCCTGAGTACTTACTATGTGCTAGGCCCCATGCTCTGCACTTGGTATACATTTTATCATTTTATCAAAACCAGCTTGGGGGGAGGAATTAAAATTCCAATCTATATACATGAAAACTGAGCTCAGGGAAGTGAAATGACTAGCTCAAGGCCACAAAACTAGCTTTATCTGCTTGAACCAGGAGTCAACCAGATTTTTCCAACTCTAATTGAGACTTTCTGACCATGACACACCCCTGCTGAACAATCCTTCAGTGGTCTTTTAGTGCTTATGGAAGGAAATGTAGCCCTCTCAGAAAGGAGGGTATTTTAGGATGGAAGTCTTCCTAATGAATGGGCAATGCTTCAGAGGCTCAGCTGTCACTTGTTTCTTTCAGATTTGCTTGTGCTTCCTGGACACTTTATGTAAACGGATTCTGTATGCAGGACGAAAGGGGACTGGTGAGACAATGACCACTGTTCTGTTTCATAGTTCTTGACAACTCTCTGGCAACTGAAACCTTGACCACTCTCTTCTGAGTTTTGTAAAACCACTTCTTGGGTCTCCCCCCAACTCTTATAACCAGTCCTTTATGCTTCTTTTGAAGGCTTTTTCTCTGGCCTTTAAGATTATTTCTGCCTAGAATTTAAGCACAGCGTAACTCCAGCTCTCCAACAGTAGTGATGACAAATGAGCAGAGGGTACACTGGACACTCAGGTGGGGAGAGAGGTCTACAAGCTTGTTTGCCTGGACTTGTTCTCTCCTCGCTGGGTACTGCAAGGGCAGAGTCAACAGTGCCAGGGCATCCTCTCCTCTCTACACAGCTTTAGCAGCATAGTCGAGGCAGAAGGGGCCAAAATAAAGTGACAGAAAGTCCTCTCTTTTCTCTGGCAGCCTTGAGGGAGCTGTTATGAGGCACAGGCTGGAGAGATGGGGGGATTAGGGTGAACACCTCTGGGAAGAGAGAAAGAAATGGGAGAGAGAGGAGAGAGGAAGAGAGACGAGAGAAGACAGTGGAAGGGAACAGAGAGTGAGATTAGCTGCTTCAAACAAGTGCTGTCAGTGATCTATATTTGCTTACAGAATGAAAAATGTGTGCCATAAACATTGGCCACTGAGTAATTTCTAGTAGGAGTTGTGTCACTTCTCATAAATGATGGGATGGGGACAGGTAGGACATCTCTGCACCTGGGCCAGCTAGCACAGGGGCTCCTCTTAAAGCAGTGTTGGACATGTCTCCAGCCCAGGAGGTGCTCAGGTCAGCCACTCTGGGGGGAAACTAGTGGGGCTGCCCAGGGTTCTAGAGCCTCAGGGCAGCATATCTGCCCCACTTTTGGAAGGCTAGGCCGGACACCATGGATAATGTCCATCTAATATTACTCCCCAGCTCCACACCCTCACTCTGACTTGACTAATTGCTGTAATAATTGATAGAACCTGACTTCCACCACTGATCGATTTCACCTCCACAACCAACAGCCACAAACCATTACACTCCAATAAATAACCACGTTGGACCTCACCCGGCTGCCCTCTCCAGGGGCATCGGGATGGCCCATGCCCTGGCCTGACCTCCCTTTGCCTCCCACCCAGGGCCCCTCCAGGCCAAGCAGCTGGTCTAGAGGGCCAGGCCTTGGGGAGTAAGTGAGAGAGTGAGAGAGCTTTACTGAGGTGGGAAGTGCTAATCGCAGGCCATCCGTCACCTCCCACTGGCTGTCTGGGGTTGGGGCAAACACCTGGAGCACCCCAGGCAGTGTGATGCCGGACCCCTCCCTTTTCTCCTGCTCCAGATTAGTGTGTCCCAGCTTATAATATTTGATAAATAGCGGACTGGCTTCTTGGCAGCAGTGCTGCGGCTGTGCCTGCCCGCTACAGCTGTGGAAGGTCACTCATTGGGGAAATATGTTTCTGTCAGTGGTATTGAAAAAAGTTTAGTGGAGTGACAGGCCTCAATTTTTCAAATTTTATTAACTCCATCCTCTTAACCATTTGTCTTGAATTCCTTCAGATTCTGGGGGATCTGTCAATAGGGGTTGGGCCAGGAAAGTAGGGTGGGGGTAGTGCTGGTCATGGGTTTGGTGCTAGTTGGTGCCATGGGGTCTCACTGTCCAGGGTAGGCTGAGAGAGTAGAATTTGTGTTGAGAGAGAAGACCCGGCCCTTTGGTGCTCTGAGAGCCCACTATTCTCCTGGTATAGTGCCCTCCTTCAACCTGACACAGTCACAATGCTCCAAGTAGAAAAAAAGACATTCATGCGAGCTCTTCTATTTCCCTAAGAAGATACATGTCTCTAATGCATCTGAAACAGGTGGTTACCCTGGCTTTTCCAAATGTCTCCATACCCACCCCAAGTTTGCAGCCCTCCAAGGGGTTTCTCAATTTAAGGCATATACCTTTTTTGTATGACTCACATCCTTGTATGAGTTCCAAAACCTCTCTTAGCAACACTGCTTCTACTCTGATCTTCTTACAGAAACTCGTTCATCTTCTAAGACTGTTTGGCTTTTCCTCTAGAAAGCATTCCGTGTTGCCTTCCCACCATAGGTGGTAGACTAGCTCTTATGCTCTCATGGGCCCTTCTATTCCCAGCTTACTACAAGGATCTTTATGCATTAAAGTTTGTACCACTGAAGACTAAACGCCCTTAGGTGTCAGAAACAATGTTTGGTACATTGTCACCTCCTTGCTATCCAGCACAAGATCCAGCATGGGCAGTCAATATCATCTGTCAGAAAAATGAACTGTACTGTATTCTCTTCACATGCTATCTTCTTAGGCCACAAAGAACATGATTATTTGTATTGTCTCAGAAGGGTGATTCTGATAGTAAGTGCATGACCACATCCTTTGTTCCTACAAACCAAAGCCCCTAATCTGTCTCTGTCTTTCTTTTCACTCTTTCCCACCTTTCAATTTAAGTTCTTAGAGTCTTTGCTAGTCCCCGATGCCTCTCTGCTGGATGGTCAGGTCAGGCCCAACTCCCTCTGTGCTTGGCAGGTAGAAAGTAGGGAAAAAGGGAGTTGCAGAGAGAGGTTCACTTTCTCTTCCTAAATAGGGTGCTGAAATTGGGGTGAAGGTGGGATTCAGATCTTCCGTGCTGGTAGGAAAAACTAGATAAGGTGAGAAGAAGCCTGTCATTTCCTCTGTGCACCCTTAGTGATACCCTGTCCTAATCTTTGCTTATTTCTGTGAATATTAAAGAAGAGAATGTGTATAAGAATGCTTTAAAAAAATAGTGTATGTGCTTTCAAGTGTGTCGGGCCATTATCAGTAATACTGACATGCTATTCCACTATTCTGTAAAACCATACTGCCCTTCTAGTGATCCATTCTACCACCCTCAGAGCTTCTGTGATTTACTTTCTCTATGAAAGAGCACTTACTGGGGAGTGAGGGACCCTGCCCACCGGCTGTAAGACCCTGTTTTACTTTTCTAGTGGTAATAATTACTCTGTTTACCTCTAGAGGTACTGAGGGAACTACGATAAAGTTTGAAAATGATTGAAAAAGAGATTGCACAGGGGTATAACGTTCTCTGTAAGAGCTTTCACATGTACTTTTCCTTTTCACTTTTATTCTTA